AGGAGGGAGGAGTTATGATTACACCAGCACCACCCATAATACGTATAAAGCGTCCATCAGCAAAAATACATAAACGGCGAGTATGTAGTAATTTAAGTAGACTGTAAGCATAGGATTAAGAATTGTAAAAGACAGTGGGCAGAATAAATTCACATATCTCTCTGTGAACACGTAGTTTTAATTAGTTTTAATTAGTTTTTAAAAAAGCTCTCATCAGCTCCCGCAACTTGACTAGGTACTACAGGGCTTTACATGAGCCCTTCCCCTGTAGATATAGTCGCCTCCCTCAACTGGCTGGCTACGTTTCAGTGACCTCTTCGGGAAACCGAGGGTTTTGTCTGTGCAATACAGGATCAGGTTATTAAGATCGGAAATACATCATAAAGGATAGCACCGTCGACGTCCGTCGAGCTTATCGCCATCCCGGTGAGTCGCTTAGGCATGTTATCTTCGGTTGTTCGGTGTTTTCTAACCAGAGTTAGAAAGAGTAGTAGTCAAAACTACTTGCACAGGCACAACTTAGTAGAGAATTATACACCAGGAGCTCGCTCTGAAATACGGTCTCGTGGACCGGAATTTGCCGTATCACAAGTACTTGCCGGAAGCCGTGCTCGAAAACGACCGCGTAAGACTCTACTGGGACCGGGCTATCATCACAGACAGGACTATTCTTGCGAATATGCCTGATATTGTGCTGATGGATCGGGCACAGTCAAGGATATTTTTGGTCGATATTACCATTATGTATGACGAGAACCTGTAGTCGTCTCTGCGAATGGGCTAATCCCGGTCAGCTTCTCGGGTCATCTGAGGCAACTGGGAATCTGCGACGGACCGCTCCGGGCTCAAATGCAGAAGGCGGTGCTCCTCGATACCGCCCGCATTGTCCGCTGGTTTCTTTCCCTTTTCCCCTAACCCTCGGCCGTTTGCCGTGTGTTGTTTGTGTCTCTCCTGCCGAGGGCTTCCATCTGGTTGGGCTTTTATTTATTTATGCATTTTAGGTATTTATTTTATTTTATTGATATTTATGTATATTTATTATTCTCATTCACAATTATATATTTATGGAACCCAACCAGATGAGAAAACTATATAGATACCCCAAAAATAATAATAATAAATTAATAATAATAATTTATATTTGTAATAATTACTAAAAAATATGAACAAAATAAGTGGGGTGCTGTGATTGCTAAGTTTGCGCTAGTTTGAAATGATTATATATAATTCAAAAAGAATATGTATCATTCAAAAAGAAAAAAAAAAGAAAATAACGAAATTATTATTATTTATTTATAAATAAATTATAAATTATGTTTTTAATAATTTTAATTATAAATATTATAAATTATTACAAATATAAATTATTAATTATTATTGATTTATTATTATTTTATATTTTACCATTTTTAATGTTTCCTTTTGTTAAAAATTAAAAAATTACTTCGCAGTCACTACTTACCGACGGCAGCACGGCTACAAATTTTACAAATTTTCAGGGACCGGCGGGCTATGCTTTAGCACGTAGCGACCGCTCTCCTGTTCTCTAACGTCCATGAGGAGAACGATCGCCGTAGAAAATAGTGTCCCAGAAATATGGACACCATAAGTGTAGCGCTGCAATCGCTAAATTCGCTCATTAAAAGTCATTTTCAGTCTATTTTTCCGATTAGATGCTAAACCACTTGCACATCCACGTTTAATAACATTTCTCCGTTTTTTAATGTCTCTTTTTGTCAAAAATTAAAAAATTAAGGAGCATGAAAATTTTCTCACCAATGCCGCGAAGAAAATTTGTAAATTTTTCGACTAACTTCATCTACTTGTACTCATACACACAGCTAACTTCGCAGCCACTACTCACCGACGGCAGCGCCGTTATAAATTCTACAAATTTTCAAGGACAGGCGGGCTATGATTTATGATGCTATATTTTATAGTACGTATAATGTTTTTTTTTTTAATTATTTTAATAATTTTTTTTATAGCGATCGTTCTCCTGTTCTCTAACCTCCATGGTCTGTACTCCTTATCTTTACACTCCATAACCCATTCATTGCCACCAACGCACCATTTGCGTTGGTCGAGATTACTACGTCATGCCACCAACGCACCGTAAATGTTGAGTGACTTCTTGAGGTTTTTTTGCATTAAATAAAAACGGTAGAAATTTATTTTAATCTATGGCAACATTAACTATTAGAAATAATTTTTAAATGTGGAAACACTGATGGTTTTTGCTTCGTATTGTCATTCTTGTTTTGACAATGAAAAAAAAGATTGGTACAAATAACATACATTTTGAATTTAAAATAACTTGAGTTTTAACGAGTGTTCATTATATATTAGTAAATTATGAGATAAAAGTAATCAGTATTCTTAATTTTTTTCTTTCTTTTCCCTTGTTTCATCGTGTTTTTGAAAAATAAAGTCACATGCACGCATACGGTTCGTTCGTTGGCATAGCAGTAAAAAACTTTATTGGATAGTTTTATTCATGATGCACAAGGAACAAATCACTTCATTTATGTATGTCTCGTATTTTTTTATATTTTTTACACTCATAAAGTTAAATTTACTATTCGTAATGTATTTAATTACTAAATATTTTATAAACTGGCCATCACATTTTACGTATTTTATAAGGTTTAAATTATGAATCCACAGAGAGAAACTTATTTGTATTATTTCCGCAGTAGCATTTATAGTATCCAAGGCCATAGGTCATAGGTAGAAAAATAGAGAAAATCCATGGGTATATTTTTTTTTATTTTGTATTTAAAAAAGTAGGTACGTGAAAAATATAAATTAGTTGTTTAAAGATAATTATTATTTATGTGAAGATTTATATGATAGATTTTAATTATTAAAATATAATTGTTACAAAGGGTACCACAACTATTAATTGTAATTTTTTTTTATTTTTAAAAATAAATGATTATCTTCATGGGTTTCTCTCACTTTTATTGTTTACGAACCTATGTATATTAAAATAATTAACCCACTCAAAGGTCATCCAGAGAGGTTTTTATTGGGTGCCGTAAATGTAACAATATACAAAGTGGATAGGTATACATTAATCAGATAAGGAGCAAAGATGTTAAATAATTCTGATACTAAATTATTTATTTAATTAAGTACACCAACAATAGGTATACACCGCATGTTTCAAGTTACTAAGTAGTTATAAATACGTAACGTAATCCACAAAAATATTAAGTGGCACCCAGGTGATGTTTATAAAATTTAAGTGGCAATGAATGCAGTGTTGCCAGATGCCTTGAACCTTTTATCTGTATTAGAAACTGCTAAAATCTGTATTAAATCTGTATGCTATTTAAACTTAAAATCTGTACAATATAATAAACCAAACTAGAATTTTGAAAAACAAGGAATAACTACTAACGTAATAAGCTGATAAAGTTCGATTACCGTTATTAAATAAAAATATTTTTATAGAATAAGGGCGACAAACGAGCACACAGTACGCTGATCGTAAGTGGATGCTGTGGCCCATAGACATCTACGTTTATCCTCGCTTAAGAATCAAAACGCAGATGCGTTGTCGCGCCTGAGGACTAAGATGGAATGCCTCATTTCCAGTAAAAAAGGGTCTCCGGATTTCTACACTCACCATATGAAGCACAGCAGTATTAAGCTGGTAATTTACGCTGCTATTCTGTGAGAGCGTGGTCCTTCCCCGGTGGGGCTGACTCATTCGTGCTGCAACCATAATATAGCTGCAGCGTGGCTCTACCAAGTATAAAATATATACTATTCACAAAAAAATTTATATAGCAAAATTGAACACATTAATTTAGACAAACAACGTATTAAAACTCAAACATTTGTAACAAACGAACATATAATTATTTTATTAATTTCAGTCACACATATTTTATATACATATTGTATACCTATATAATACGCTTGTATGTCTGCCGTACTAAGTAGGTAGTCACTTATTTTGCTTCTTCTTTTTAAGTTGAATATTATGGTAACCCAATCAATAGAGTTAGAAAACTCCGTAGACAGAGAAACCTATAGACTAATGATTAGCGTGGCCTCGAGTGAGAAAGGACGATAACGTAGTTTTAGGTTATACAATAATCTTTATGATTTTTAAACATATTTAGATAAAAATTTTAATTGTTCTAAGAACTGAACTGAACAAGATTCACCAATCTTAAGTTCACAAAACACTTTTTTTCACTTAAACCAACTTATAAACTCCTTAGTTCACTACGAACTGTCAAAGTTGTTTAGCAAAATGTAGTTTGCTAAACAAAAAAAAACCGGCACGGAGAAAGGGACAAACAATCACACCGCTCTGTCTCATTTCTATGCAAGACGTATGCATAAATCTATCTTTTTCGTGTGCGAATGCGAAAGAAGGCGTCAATTTGTCTATAGGTTTCTCTGTCTACGGAAAACTCTGTATAAAAATCTGTATCCAGTGCTAATCTGTATCACACACCGAAAATCTGTATAAATACGGGGAAATCTGTATATATGGCAACACTGAATGAATGAGATAACTTGCACGTAATATGTTCGTCTGTTCTAAGTCTATGGCTTAAAAACAATGTGGGTTTCAGGTTTAAAATAACAGATGGCAGTAAATAAGAAAAATTTAAAGTGTATTATAATTATGCTAGATAATAAAAATTTTAGGTTTTATATACTTTAAAATACGTAAATTATAAGAAAATAAAAATAAGCAAAGTTTAAAGATTATGGAATTCCAGTTATCTGTAAAACCGATTATCGTAGAGTGAAACGAAACGTGGAAGTGAATGTACCTATCAGCAAATGAATGACAAATTAAAAAGTTTTATTTTCTTATATTGGTACGAGATTTTATTGATTGTTTTCTTTCAAGATTTTCGGTCAGACGGCGACTGAAATTGCAAGTTACTGTGATATATTTATTTTCAATAATTAACTATTCTTATCAAACCAATTAAATGAGCAGGGATATCGAGTTATGTCTATAAGTAATGGAAGGTACAGAACTGGGTGGCGACCAGCAATTCTGTTTGAGATGGAACAATTTTCAAGCGAATATAACTTCTCAATTCGAAGCACTGCGCGATGATGAGGACTTCGTGGATGTCACCCTGGCATGCGAAGGACACAGGCTGGAAGCCCACAAAGTGGTTCTCTCGGCGTGTAGTCCTTATTTCAAGGAATTATTTAAAGTAAGTACATCTTTCACTCCCCACACTTTGATGTGTCACCATTACAATGACTCTAGTGAAAGTTGTTATGTATAAAACACTTGATCTACTTACAAATGCCATGTCTCGCGTTCCGGTTAAGTACTCGTGATTTCATTTATTTGTGCCTACTTTAGAATTCTGTTTCACAATTTCTAATTAACTCATTACCATTGAATCTCTTTATGTCATATGCATTATCTTTATAAAATAAAAACGAAACAGTATTGTATTCCTACAAATACAATACTTTTTTTTTAAACCATAAATTTATGTATATATGATAGATTAGACAATCAAATCTACTCTTAATCAACCTATCTGTAATTTCATAATTTTTAATATACTTCTATTCAATTTGTAGTTTTACCCAACTTTTACTTCATTGTGCAAGAAGAAATGACATTTATCAAAATTAATTAAAATTCTATGGTATTTGTAATTATAAGCATAAGACATGTTGTGTAAATAAGTTAAATTATGCACAGTAAACTGTGACATTTTTGGTTATTTGATTTACCTTTAAAAATTGCAAGTATTTTTAATGTATAATGAAGTTTTACAGAGTAATAAGTTTATGTGTACATAGTTAATGTATGAATAAATAATTGTACTAATTAAATTTCATTATTTACATGTAAAGCTTTGACGCTTATGTTACTTATGATACAATAATGATTTAGTATATTATATAGTATATTTAATTTCATTTCAGTACAAGTCATGTATTTATTAAATATATTTACAATATTTGAAAAAGTTAGTTAAAAAACTTGAATTAATTCAATTTGGGAATTATTCAATTTGAGAAATTCATATAATCTGTCCCAAAATAAATCATTGCTCTCATCAAGACATCTTCATTACCATATTTTTGAAATAAATAAGTTTTTATTGTTTTTTTTTTTTACTTTTACAAGTAAAAGCAATGTTAAAGTTAGTTTAATACTTATCAATTTTTAAAACCCATGAAAAAGATAATGAACTTTTTTCATTCATCCACTTATTACTACTTTTTGCAGAATTAATATTACCAGTCAATGCTTTCAATTTAAACATAACCAGATTTGAATTTAAAATGTACACCTTAAAATAATAAAAATATTAAACTGTATTTCTACTTTATTAAAATAGTTTAAAAATTGTGAAAATTTAAAAATAAAAATTCTATTATGAGTGTGCTTTGAAAGGAAAAGAGTAGTCTACATCTATGTTTGTAATTATATTTATCATCATAGATGAGTCCTTAGGACTATTAATGATTGCGACTTTATTTATTATTATTTTACTGGACCATAAAGAGAGAACAAGCACTTCTTTACATACTGCATAAAATTCATCTATATTCTGCCTTATCATACATAATATGAATGAATGAGCCATGGCAGCCCAGGGGCTAAGCTCTTGCTTTAGGTTTCATAGTATGCAAGCAAATTGTGAGTACAAATTTTAATTGCAGTTTTAGGTGTTGAATAACCATGTACTTAGTGGTGTGAAAACCTGTATGTCTGAGACAAAAAATTTCAATAGCATGTGAAGTTTGCTAACATGCACTGCAGCACTGGGGCACACTTATTCCTGCATAACTCTTTCAAAAATGAGATGTGGCCAGTGCCCCACAGTGGGATGTATATATAATATTTTTTATATGTGAAAGAGCTGCACTGCAGCTATATTATGGTTGTAGTATGAATGGGTTTGTTGTAAAAAGGAAGGATCATACTCTCACAGAATACTAGTGTGAAATAGCAGCTTAATGCTGCTGTTTCATGTGGTGAATTTAGAGAACCGAAGACTTTTTACCTTAGTCCTTAGGGCTGACAATGCATTCTGCATTTCAATTCTTAATCAGGAAAATAAGTAGATGTCTATGGGTCACAGCATCCACTTACTTGGACTGTGTACTTGTTTATCACACTTATACTATAAAAGAGTCAAGCTAAGCTTTTTTTATAAAAAGCATCAAATTTATTCTTGGTCTTAGGTCTACGATGTTGAAAAACTTAACTCTTATCAGAAGAACAAGATACTTCAAAAAAATGTAGTCAAAATAGCAACCATCACATTTTCTTTAATATCAAATTCCTTTTATGTGAATGACCACTCCAAAAAGTTATTTAATGGAATAGAATCTAATCCTTCACATATTTTAAATATAAACTTAAGATTTTAATAAACTTACACACACATAGAAAGTAGTTAAATAATTAAATTGAGTTTACAATAAAATTTCGACACTTATGGACTCCTGTTGATGGATAGCACAAAAACTGCTCAAAATTGACGTTAGTTTTATTAATATCTGCAATATCTAAGTTTTGTTTTCCTGGCATTTAGTGTAACAATAATATGCTACAGTATATTGTCATTGTGCTCGCAAAACTTTAATAAAAAATAAATAATGTCATAAAGCTTTAGCTATTTTTGTTACTAGTTGAAATAATGCAAAAGGTTTAATGGACACATCTGGCTTGTAGTTAAAGTTAAAAAGTTAGGGGCTAGTACTTAGTAAATACTAATAAAATGCACCGATCTTGTTTTGACCACAAAAAAACGATTGAGGTTTGGGGTTCGGTTTGAGGTTGTTGTTATTTAGGCTCATCTACAATATGTTTGTGGGTATAACAGTCTAGTCACAGAATAAACAATAGTACTACATACAGAAGTTGCACTCCTTTGATGTTCATTACCTACAGCCTACAGAATTATTACTAATTGGATAAATTATGCATGCAAACGAAATTAAACTTTATCGCTGTACTAGAGTGTTCGTATGGCTTTGCATCTTTTCCCATTCCTACGTCACGGACAATAATTCTCTGGACTTTCAATAAAGAGTAAAAAATACAATATGTATGTTGTACTTTTTCATTATTTACCTAATTTACAACTGTTTTACTTTAGTATAACGTTTTATATTTTTTATAGTCTTTAAAATAATGGTTACTAAATTTAAGAATGGAAAAACATTTACATGGAGTGATAAAATTAATATTCGTTAATAATTTTAGTAAATTATTTGCTGGTTTTTTCGTTATGTTTTCAAAATTGTTAATGAATGTATTTTCAGTAATAAATATATAGATATACATATAAATTGCAATAGAACTCATACAATAATTTTATCCTATAACCAAATGTATCAAACAATCAAAAATGTTTATACAAGTGTAAATAAAAAATCTATTTAGGTAAACAGTGTTTAAAGTTTGAAATTCACTAGTAGTCGCTTGCTTAAAACGCGCTAGCCCTGACTGCGTATGTAACCTGAGGTTCACCGTAATTGTAGGTATTTACATCATGCAGGTAGCAAGAGTGACAGAGGCCTGCTCTAGTTTACAATAAAAAATTCAGTTGATGTGTACAAATGCTGTAGATACAATCCCTTGTTTTGGAAAAGGAAATATTTTTTCTCTTTTTTATAAGAATACTTAATTTAAAAAGAATAAAAAAAATACTAGTACTACAAGTAATACTTATACTACTGTTAATCACTCCAAGGAAGTTGTACTATGGTCAAATAACAGTTTCTAACTTAAAAACTGCTTTTAATTTATTTGCTAACAAGTATAATGGGTAAATTAATGGTGACACAATGAGAGTTAAAGTCTAATAGTAATTGTGCTTAATGATTTAACTCATTATTTTTATATTATTGTATGTATAATTACTGTAGTTAAATCAGATATATAATTTATTGAAAAAAGTCAAAATATAAAATTGCGGCAGTCTACTTGCATGTGAAATGATTCCAGAATACTTCACAAGAATTTGTGTATTATATTATTTCATAATACACTCACCGGCATGGAAACTTGGCCACTCGTGAATTTGCTGATTATTTGCACTGAAACGTTTTTTTAACAGTAAATTAAGGGTAGATGCATTCAATAAGTGTCTCTAATGGTTTTAGAACATAGAAATTTAATGTTTACTTCACCGAAATTTTTCTTTTCAAGATAACATGTTTTCACTAAAATTAACATCTTTCCATTGTCACTTTAAAAACACTACAAAGTTAAAAATTAAGTCTGTTTCTTTATTGTCTATCAGTTTTAATATCGGGTGTTTCCTCCTCTAGCCCTGATAACCGCTTGCATTCGATCTGGCATGCTTTGAATGATGTTTCTGACATCAACTTGCGGTATGCTGTCCCAAGCGGCCAGCGCTGCATTTCGGAGCTCATTTAGAGTTTGTAGCGGTTTGGAGCTGGACTTTATCTTTCTTTTGAGCATACCCCATACATGCTCAATTGAATTTAAGTCCGGGCTACGAGCTGGCCACTGTAATTTTTGTATTCCAACCTCTTCCAGATATTCCTCTACACAATGTGCGACGTGCGGGCGTGCATTATCGTGCATGAGGAGGAATTGGTCGTGTCCAATGAATCCCGAATAAGGCATTACGTGCTCCTGAAGAACTTCCTCGATGTATCGAGTAGCTGTAAGCCGATTATCGACGATGACCAACTCTGTACGTGCGTCGGAACTTACACCTCCCCATACCATTATTGAGCCTCCATGGAAACTCACAGTTTGGGTGGTGGTAATGGGTAGAAACCTCTCTCCTCTTTTTCTCCACACTCGTTCTCGACCGTCTGGAGCACGTAAAGCTATTCGACACTCATCTGTGAACAACACTCTAGCCCATTGCTCGTGGGTCCAATTGACATGTTCTCTTGCGAACTGAAGTCGGGCTACTCGGTGCTGTCTGAGAAGTTCTGGACCTCGTGCTGGTCTACGAGCTTTTAAATTCACTTCCTCCATTCGTCTTCTCACCGTACGCTCACTAACATTAACGCCTCTTGCGATTTGGAGCCGCTGGCGTATCTCAACAGCGGTCAGGTAGCGGTTTCTCAAAATCTCCATAACAATAAAACGATCGTCCCGGGCCGATGTGCACCTTACGCCCCCACTGCCTGGCCTGCGGGTGTAGCGGCCTGTCTCCTGGTATCGTTTCAGTGAATACTGCATTGAGGACCGTGGTACGTTAAGCACAATAGCAACTTCACGCTGTGTCAGCCCTTGGTCAATTAATGCTACTGCTTGTGCAACTTGTGCTGGTGTTAATGGCATTTTTATTGGGTTTAAAGCACCTTTAGTTATTTAATTAAGACACAAGATCACAATAATTGAATAACCTTACAGTAAACTTTTCACAACACACAAATTTAAAATGTGAACTTAGTCGCTCAAATGACCCGATTCAACTAAAAATTAAAGAATTCGTCATGGTGCACTTAAACATAATGAATTACCCTCTTGAACTTGAGGGTAAACATTCTTTGACATACTTGCATAACAAACATTCATCAGAAACACTTAAAGCTTTTGCTATCGCGAGATAACCGCTTGGCCAAGTTTCCGTGCCGGTGAGTGTATTAATTGTATAATTTCTAAATAATTTTAAGCCCTATTTGGCTTTTAAATTAAATACTAGGTACATAGAGTTTATTCTTAAAAGGCCAGCAATGCACCTGTAATTCCCCTGGTGTTGCAGTTAGTTGTTCATGGCCGGTAGTAGTCACTTACCATTAGGTGAGCCGTATGCTTGTCTGCCCTCACTACTATAAATAAAACAAATAATTTTGTTTAGAGCTGCACTTGGAGTCTGTTTTGTAGCAACTTGGCGTAAAACATAATATGAACTTTAAAAATAATAAATTGTGTAGGGGCAGTTTGGTCTACTGACACACAACTTCCCATTTAGTATTAGCAGTTTGAAGTTACCATTCTTACCAAAGTAAATTTGCTGAATTAAATTGAATTGGATGACAAAATATGAAGTGTTCATTATGCAATTATGACTTGAATGGCATTAGTTTGCAGTCTCATCATATCATCTTTTAGTTTTCAAGATACGTGAGGCGAAATCGTTCATTAATGTACGAGCGCTCACGCATTCGCACATACATACGCACATGCAACATACATCCCATTAAAAATGAAAAAAGTTGTTCACATTTCAAATAAAAAAAGTAATAAGTTTTAAACGCTGATTATTAAAAGTAACACCAATTATCACACCCAATGGTAATGTCTAACATCCTTTGAGACATTTAATATAACTTATTAAATTTATGTTCTCTACATTCCAAAAATAAATCATTTTACCATTATTAAAACTAAAATAAGTGCAATTAAATCCTTAAATATTAATTTTAATAAATATGTAAGTTTTAGAGCAAATACATATAAGATTTCAAGAAAATTTACATGATACGGTCTCTCTCCAGATGTCTGCTTGAAGTTGAGTTGCGTAGTTACTTTTTACATACCACTTTCTTACCCTGTTATTGCGAAATTATAATAGAGTATCTCTTTCTGTACATAGCTACAGAACATAGGGATGCAAAAATGCGATTGTAGAACATTAAGTATATTATTACTATATAAGCGGAACCACAGGTCTGTAATATAAGTATGATTAATCCCACTAAAAACACAAATGTGAAGTTCGATACAAACAACATTCCAGATTTAATAATTTCTTATATTTACGCGAACATTGCACATGATTAAAACTACTTTTACGGATTTTATCGCGTTTATTTTTACTTTTTATTTTTAATTCCCGACGTTTCGGGCGCTTTCCAGCACCCATGGTCACGGGGGACTGAGATGACTGACGTCCCGATGTCATTGTTAAACCCGGAGTACCTTCAGCTTTTTTAATTATTGTTTATGGTCCGATCTATGCAAAATGAACTGACTGTGTCCTGAGGTCTTGCAGTGGTATGCTTGGGTTTAGTTTTAATTTTATTGATTATAGGATCCCAAGCAGGTGGTAGTACCCAGCCTCCTTCTCTATTGAAATTAGGATGTTTTTTAATTTCAATAGCCTCACGTATCATCCTTGGTAGGAATTGGTGTTCTTTCGCGAGGATTTGTGGTCTATCAAATCTGATGTAATGGTTGGGGCCGTCTAGGATATGATCACACACTGCAGACTTCCCGGAACGTTGATGCTTCACATCAGCTATATGTTCTTTTACGCGGGTCCTAATTGATCTTTTGGTTTGTCCTATATAAGAGAGACCACATTCACAATCAAGCTTGTACACTCCTGCATCTTGTAGAGGAATATGACACTTGACGGATGGTAGGAACTGACTAATCTTCTTCGGCGGCTTGTAGAATGTTCTAATAGAAGCTCGCTTCAAGATATAGCCAATCTTGTCTGTGACACCTCTGACATATGGTAGTACAGCAGGCACACGCTCGACTGTGGCCGGCTTCACTCGGTCACTGTGACGTAGGCGCGGGACCCGAAGCTTGTTGTCGTGCAGAACTTGCTTGACGTGCTGAAGCTCGGCGGCCAGGTGTTTGCTGTCACAGATCCCTCGTGCTCTCTGTAACAAAGATTTGCCCACGGTAGCTAACTGTGAAGGATGGTGGTGAGATTCACCGTTTAAATATCGGTTTGTATGGGTCTTTTTCCTATACACAGTGTGACCAATGGTGTTATTAGGATTTCGGATGACTAACACATCTAGGAAAGGTAAGGAATTATTTGCCTCTAACTCCATAGTAAATTGAATTTTAGCGTTTATGGAATTAAGATGTTCTAAAAATGCAGTTACTTTGTCTGATGGTAAAATTGTGAAAGTATCGTCTACGTACCGCTTGTAGATCCTTGGTGTAACAGGTGCAGTAAGGAGGGCTTTCTCCTCAAAGTCTTCCATGAATATATCGGCGACAATGGGAGATACAGGTGAGCCCATCGCCACACCATCTACTTGCTTGTAAAACTCTTCCTTCCACAATAGATAGCCAGATGTAAGGCAATGTCTTAGTAATACTGCATATTCTGCTGGCATGTTATTTTCCTATAATCAATAAAATTAAAACTAAACCCAAGCATACCACTGCAAGACCTCAGGACACAGTCAGTTCATTTTGCATAGATCGGACCATAAACAATAATTAAAAAAGCTGAAGGTACTCCGGGTTTAACAATGACATCGGGACGTCAGTCATCTCAGTCCCCCGTGACCATGGGTGCTGGAAAGCGCCCGAAACGTCGGGAATTAAAAATAAAAAGTAAAAATAAACGCGATAAAATCCGTAAAAGTAGTTTTAATCATGAACATTCCAGATTGTCCGTTTCACCTATAAAAGAATTGTGATATGAGTGCAAGTCCTTAAATCTTAACTACAGGAATGTATAACGAACTTTAATTGATTTAAAAGAAAGTTTGTTATATCCTTTGGTATTTAATTTTGAACTTGACAAGTTTTAAAAGTTTGATAATTACATTAAGTTACAAAGTACACATTGCAGGCGTATCGCCCTTTTCTTTTTCTTGGAACTTACTTGGAGCTTAATGCAACAATCTAGGAATTGTATTATATCCTTAACTGTTTGGTAAGCAATAAATATTTTTTTCAGAATAATCCATGTCCCCATCCTATAATATTCATGCGGGACTGCGAGGTGTCGCATGTACGTGCGCTGTTGCAGTTCATGTATGCAGGACAAGTAAATATTGCTCAGGCGCAGCTTAGCGCCTTCTTACGCACCGCGGATGCGCTTCAAATCCGCGGCCTCACTGATTGCTCACAACACAACGATAAAGTAAATATATTTCCGTCCCAAGCTTTGTTACTTTATATTTACAAGTTGTGGGTGTTATTTTTGTATTAACATTGTTATTCTGTTACAGAAAGTCAATCGAAAATCCCCTCCTTCTCAATTACGTAATTTGCTCAGCGCCAAGCCGTCACATTCTACCTCCTCCTCCAAAGCCGCAAACCAAAATGTTGAATCGACGTCTACTGATGACCATGAAAAGAGCGCTGGACGTCGTTCCGCGAGAAATTCTCCCGATGTTGCCAGAAATAATCTCAACGAAGAAGCTCCCTTTCAAACTTCTAGTCAAATGAGGCCTAATAATAATGACTATAGCGAATCCTGCACCTACCCTACATTAAGAGTGAAAACTGATCTCGAAGCACAAGAAGTAAATAATGAAGAACATGATATATTAATGGATTCCGGTGATCCGGACAGAGTCGAAAAATGTGAGCCAGATTTCAGCGCAACGGACCTATTAGAACCGAAAATGGAAGTAATGGAACAGGAAGTCAGTGATGAAGAACGTTCCGGTTTCCAACAGGTTTATTACAATGAGAATAATGCGCTGGCTAATCCCTTCGCGACAATTCAAGGTACTGATTTACCAAAGTGATTAGTGGCTATTTAAAATATTATATGAGAACTAATATATCATTTCGTTTTTTAAGGTAACGTGGATCTCATGGGTGGGCTGAACACGGAACTGCGGGATGAGAACGCGGAAGGTAAATATACTCTATTCTCTTTCTGTCACGTCATTCTCACATGCACACGTCGACTCGGACAGCCGCGCCCCCGGCGAACCTCTTGATTTCACAGTCAAAATACAAACCGTTTAGAAGTTTAAAGAGAGAGCGCGCGCGATTTCGTATTGAGTCAGGTGGCTAGGCGCGCGGGTGTCGGGTGTCGTACGCGCAGCCGACCGCCCGCCCTCAAGCCCGTAACCGACCCCTCCAATGCTAACAGGAATTTTCCCACACCGATAATTGAGACGACCTGAGTAGTCATCAAAGAAAAGTACATATAGTTTTCAATTATCGTATCCCCTATATGGCTATACTCGAATTTTAGGGATAAACTGCAACTTTCTCTTGATTTAAAGCCGATTTCTCTATAAAGATACCGGTCTTTAGTTTATATTTTCCTCTCTAATATTTGATTAGTTATATTTGTGTAAAGTCAGAGTCTGTAAAATGTTTTTTTTTAATATTAGAAAATCATAGGTAACGAACTTCTAGGAATAAACCATTGTCACGTAATTTGCAAAGCACAGAACGAAGGGTGACGTTCGGGACTTCTATGATTGGAAGTTTGCAAAGTAAATAATATGAAAAGTCGCTTATGATGACTGCATACACGTCTGTTACAAAACACACAATTTCTTTTTATAATTTTCGGTTTTTTCTTGCTTGGTTTCTGGTGAAAGAATTAATTAATTGCATCCATTGTTACTTACGGGGAGGGTCGGAGACTAAGTTTCGCTCTGCGAGAAGCCTAAAGAACGAGATGAATTATTCGTGATGTCCTAAACAAAACTACAAATTGCTTCGCACCTTCGTACGTGGACCTATTAGCATTGGAAGCGGTGACGTGGTGTATAGGGAGTGCGGGTCGGGGGTCGCGGGGCGGGTGCCGCAGTGCGAACTGGTGTTGTTGGCAGCGGGCGCGGGCGCGGGTGCGGTCGCGGGCGGCGTGCGGTGCGCGCAGTGCGGGCGCCGGTACAGCAACGCGTCCAACCTGCGCCAGCACGTGCGGCTCATCCACGAGGCGCAGCCGGTGGTGTGCGCCACCTGCGGCCGCAGCTTCAAGACGCCGCTGTACCTGCGCCGGCACACGCTGGCGCAGCACCCCACGCGCCTCAAGCCGCCGCCGCCGCCGCTTCCCGCGCTGCGGCCCGCCCACACTTACCAACAGTAGCCGCTACTGGCCGCATACAAGTCGCACTATAGCCGCACACGCGCGCTCTCTCCTAACCACACTCTAGGAACGATGCCGAACGCGCGACCTTAATGCCGGATTTCTATATTTAAAAACGCTTCTTTTTCTTTAACTAGCAGTTTTGCAACAATTAGAGTGCAAGAAAACCCCCTTTTTTAACTATTTATGAAACTTTGAAATTTTTAATTCATTTTAAGTCATCCTAAGTTGCTAAATGAATAGTTTGTATTATATTTAAAAAAAAAAGTATTCGTTACGGAGAACGAAACGTTTCTTGAATATAGAAATCGGGCATATAAACGACCAGTGCCTCGATTCCGTTCCGTTGAACTTCATAGATTATTTGTATCGACGTCGATCGGTCTTGTAAGTCGGTGCAATTAATGTCTTAAATAGTAATTTGAATCTGAACGTGAACGGTTCGTTATCGAAACGCGTTGCGGACTCTGATTATTACTGTTATCTCTTTACTTTCTTTTCACACATGTCGGAGGAGTTGCGCTGGTCCTCTCTGTTGTGCTTCAACGAAGAGCCACAATAGTAGAGCGAATTATCCGCTTTAGCTTTATATTGTAAAATTCATATAATATGTCGATAGTAACAAAGTGGACAGTTCGAGTGCGTTATTCTATTGTTCCTCGTCGTTGATGGGTTCAACATTATGAAGATGTGGCTTAACGTTGTAATGAAGACTGTCAGTAGATTTATCTAGTCTGTGATCGGAGTGTCGCCGGGGGCCTTTCTGCCGTCACACCTCTCCGCTTATTGCGTGCCTTTCAATAATTACTTATACCGAATGCCATACACGAGTTGCCTTAACGAGTCCCCTTTGGTTCGCAGCTAGTATAAATAATACTGTCTAAGTTCGGTTATTAACAATTTAATTAATTTTTATTTGCAAAATAGTGTGGTAATGCATTTAAAAAATGAAACTGGGTCTGGTTGTTTTATGTTATTCTTGTGTTTCTGTGACTAACCGGGCCTCGTTAAGGGAAACGCTTAAGTACCTTCCTTTCTGACAATAGACTGATTGTTGTTAAGCATTTGTTGCAACCGGTGCTGATTTATCGTAGGTTATTTACAGGTTACATATTATACATACATACCTTACATTATACACGTTATTTGATCGACACTTTCTATCGCTTTCTCAGCAAATGTGTATTTTCATACAGAGTATAATTTTTTTGTACCGAAAGCGCGATGGAAAGGGTCGAACAACATCCGTTTTTATGTGTCGGACTCACGAAGTTACATAATCTCGTGACGAACAACAATAACAATAGTGATATTTTTATACACAATAGTTTATCTTTACACAGTGTTATATTGTTGAGTGATTGGATGGCTCCCGGTTATTAGTTTGTACAAATCTCAAATGTAAAGGTTAATATTATATGTCTTCAGATTCACGCATTAAAAATAATATAAACTAAAATAGTTGTTACAAAGTATTTATTGTTAAAATGAAACTTGCCATAGCTCATACGTACCCAGTGACGAAACCTTTTGTTCACACTAGTTCGAACTGTTGAACTAGTGAGAATTTTTTTCTCATAAGATCGACCGTCGAACTAACGAGAAAAAAATCTCACTAGTGGAAGACAAAGTAACGAAACAAAACACTGAAAAAATTAATAAACGGTTTGTATTATAATTTAAGGCATCGCATGTTTTTTTGTGCACCTTATATAAACTATATTTTTAAGAAGTCAGGAAACTGACTGATAGTTGATTATAAAAAAGGAAAGAAACGTTTGCCATGAAAACAAAACATCTAGTCATTTTAAAGAAACAGCATTTAGAAGGGGCATGATGTCTAAGATGTGGATTAGGGTTGTGAATTACAATATTAGTTTTTTTTAACAGATTATTGTAAACTTACCGAACTGTATGATGAGATCTCAATTATTTTATGATCTCAAAATTGAAAGTATGCATTTTGTAAAAGCATTTTCACCTCGATTGATAATGTAATTAGTAAAAGGGGAGCAATATTTGCAAATCGTATAGTGGTATGTTTTGCGGTGTTGTTCATTGATTAGAAGCGGCAGTTGCAACCAACATAATATTTAATTTTAAGTATTGAAAAACAAGTTTTATAATAATTTATCCCTTGACTATGTAACGACGCACTTCGTCGTCGTCATATTTAAAATTTTCATTGTATACACTACGGAATCTCATCGTACTCGATAAAATCACTTGAAACAGTGAACAATTATGACCCTTCAAACTTTATCGTAACGATAAAAAAAATTATGAATGTAAATTAAAACGAAAATATTATTCGGCATTTTAATAGTTTCCATTAAATACTAAATTTAGATTTTGAGCTTAGTATTTCTTTCATAGTGTTTCATACATGACAATATAAATGAATTTCAACGTCATGTCACGCTTGTTTTGGGACTAACGTGTTTAATTGTATGTTTTTCACTTTTATATTAAATAATTTATAATTGTTTGAACAAGTTCAAGTAAGATTTTTTTAAAATCGAACAATATAATATTACCGCTGAATTCGGTTTCAAGCGACTTAGAAAACATTTCTATTCTCAAATATATTGTATAGTTAGATTGTTAATACGTAAAATAATGCCCTTAAATAATTTTTAATGTTTTTATTATATTTCTTGAATATTTTTGCAATAAATCAGTCAATTTAAAGTTTTGCTGTTTGCAACACTGTGACTATCCATACTTTAATATTTATATACAGTAAACATATTATTATAGTTCTATATTGTAACCAAGTTCATCTGTGCAATGGCTTAGTGCAGAATATTACAAGTTTTATGTATGGACATAAATCAATGTAATTTTTTTACTTAATAATAAAAAAATAAAGTATTCGAAATACAAAACGATTTTTAGTTGAAATTCTTAATAAACTTCGTATTTATAAATGTTTTGAATTTAAGGTTCAGTTATTACCTATAAGTCGAAACTAAATACATTTTCACTCTGTATATATTTTTTACATTTAGCGTGACGTTTATTTAAAGCATGAAAATGAGTTAAATATTATCTTGACTGGCCATGCAGAACAATTTTGTAGAATTGTGTTTTTAAATATTATTGCTAAATAGTGGCACAGACATTTTTTTCCGACTAACGATAAACGAAATTTTGTCGATAAATTTTACGTCTTTAACATTATGAAATCCTTGCAATTTAACTTTTTTTGTGTGCAAAACGATATAGGTGCTTTAAATTATAATGATGTGGAGCACGTATAAAAAAGTTGTTAAATTAACTTTTAACATTTTAACTAACAATTTCATTGGAGCCGGTTCGGCTATTCCATGTTTAGTTTTAGTTTTTTCTTTATTTTTGATAGTTACTATGAACGGAAACGTTCTTTAACTTTAAGGTACCAAAACGATAATTCGTAGTACCTACCGTTATAAAGGTATTTATATGAAAGTAACGTTAGTTCTGAGTTGTTTAAGGGCTCGTAACGGGCTATAAAATTTTCATCTTGCTGGAGATTTTGCTAAGAATTACTCATCTTAACCATACTTATACGTAATACAATATGTTATTACTCGCTGTTTTCTCACGATGCCTGGACTTTACATACCAATATAAATACAAAGAAATATAATTCCCAATACCATGCTAAGAAGTTAATAAATCACTAACTTCTTCCACTACCAATAAATCACGAACTATATTTTGTAATACGAAGCCATACTCTTTGGACTACAAATTCCCTTCAACAATGGTTAGTCATGGATTTTTATTACTTACTTTTTGAAGAAATTTAAATAAGAGTCAAAGGAATTGTCGTGCACTGTTCTTAGTGACAAAACGAATATAATTTCTGCTCCTGTATCTAATTCTCGGTCTTTTATCAGTTCGTTCATTTAAGAATTTGTTCTTTATTTTTATCAATTTTTGAATTCAGTCTCTTAATGTTAAATAACTTATCGGAACTAAAGTTCACTCAAATTCGAATGTGGAACCCTTAAGAACCAAAGCATATCCGTCGCATTTGACATCGACCTTATGGCTTGTTGCATTGATTAAACTCATAAAATCTTAGTGAGTTAAATAGCGATTAAAAGCTGAACTTGACAACTGAACACTTCAATTTGCACATAGTTAATCATAAATCATACTACACAAACGGATATTTTGCTAAGAAAAAAAAATCAATCAGCATTTAAGCTTAAAATCCCTTGTAAATAATGCTGAAAGTCGAGCCGTGTGCTTTATGACGACACAGTGTACGTTACATTTTTGTACGTTTAGCGTAATGATTCAGTTATCCATTTATTTTAAGTTACGAGTTGCTTAGTAGGTATACTATGTTGATTCAGGATTTTTTTTCGGTTGGAGCATTTAATCAGTATTGTTGATTATGTTGAGCCGTGCAAACAGTTGTAAGAAATGGTTGTGTGGCAGCGATTAGCGGGCGATGGGACGGGCGTCGCAACCGACCGGTGCCGGACGCCGTGTGGCTGGAGCAGCACCGTCGAGCCCTGCCCTTCCTGCTCAAGCGAGAGAACGAGCGCGGCGGCGCCACGGCTCCTAGGCTTGTAAGTCTCTTTTTCATTTAGTTTTATATCGTAAATACTAAGTTCTAATAACTAAATATTCTTTAGTAAAAAAAGAAACTGCCTAGTGATTCAAAATGTGATTCTACAGATATCCGATATCAATAAAATTAAAATCTTACGTAAATCATGAAGTCTATAAAACAAAAGCCGAGTCAAACAAGTAGTAACTAATTCAAATTTTAAATAAAAAAAAAACCAAATCGCCAAAGACATCCAAAATGAACACAATAAACGCATTCGTGAGTTCACATCTACACGAACAAGCTTGGATTAAACAAAAAAATATCATACTACCTACATTATTACATGACTCAAGTCGCTTGTCAGTTGTTGTCATTTTATGACTGAAAGGGCGCCATCTTGTAAAATATTCAAAAATTGGGATTGCATTTATACTTTTAGCAAGTCATTTAGTTTGATTTATTCTCTTATTTTATTTTTAATAAAATCCCTGAATTTTTCGCTTTTTTAGGGTATAGTGTACATATACTGGGCGTGAAATGGACCGTCTCCTTTCTCGGCATTGCGTTTCACATTCAATTCCTTGCAATTTGATTGTATGTCAAAGTAACAGGAAAAGTGACGGACAATTGGATAATTGACAGTACTCGAACGATTACTAAATTAATATATCATTTAATATGAATTTGCCACTTTTAGTAGTGCTTTAAATTTAAATTTTAATTATATTTTTAGTAGCTATCTGGCTATTTAAAACATACAAAAGAGATGATTAATTAATTTTTAGAAATTATGGCGTCATTACACTATATTCACCTACATTTTCTATAAATATGTTGGTTTTTATGATTTTAAAAGTATTTGAATTGATTGTCATATAATATATTTGACGGGTTTATTGACAAGGATTGAGGATAAAAAAGACCTCAGCATAGATAGTCTCATAGACAAATGGCAAGTGGCAAGTATTCCCTATACTTGCCACTTGCCATTTGTCTGGGCGGGATCTTTTAATGTGGCGTCATTTAGATTTAAGATGTTTAACAGAGACCACATAATTTATCACTATTTCGATTTCCCAGAAAAAAAAACTTATATTTTATCGTTGGTTGTGTTTTTTCTTATTTATATTATGTTTAAAGGTACAGCCTGTATACATCCCACTCCTGGGCACAGGCCTCCCACTCATTTCTGAGAGGTTTTTAATGCAAAGAATTGTGCCCCAATGCGTGTTGGCGAACTTCACATGTCTTCGAAATATTTTTTTTTCTTATTTCTCAGACATGCAGATTTCCTGACGATGTTTTCCTTCACCGCCGTTCACATGGTAAATCAGGACTTATAATTGCAATTAACAATTTCATTGGTGCCGGCGGGGATCGAACCCGGGTTGCTCGCGTACTGTAAAATTTACAGCGAGCGCTAAACATCTGAGCTACCATGGCTCTTATATTACGTTTATATTTATATTATGTGTTTTGTATGTGTATATTTATATTGTTTATATTGCCCTATTTTTTCATGAAGAATCACATTATTTAATAATTTCATAATAATATTTATTATATATTAATATTTATAATAGTACGATTCATTTGCAAGGTATCCTCTTAACAGGTACCTTATATTTACCAGCATGAAATACATCCACTACCCTAAGCTAGCAAAGTGCGTACCTTCTATCTTCTATCTCGTCCATGACGTTAGCTGTTTCGCATGTTATCATGCATACGATCTATTACGCCTCCGGTGTACGGTATCTAGGAACTTATCGCGCGGGTTATCTCCTGCACGTGTCGAAAAAAGGGAACTGCCATAAGTAACGGCGATAATTGTCGGGTCACCAGATAAAGCTGGGCGAGGGCGTGGAGATTCGCGAGGAGCTGCTGCGTGGAGTGAAATGGGGAGACTATAGGAAAGTGACGCGTGGGCTGGCGGCGGCGCTGTTCTCGCCCATGGAGCTGGCGACGTGCTCGGTGACGGGGCAGCGCTGGTCGCGCGCGGGCCAGGAGGCGCGCCCCACCAAGCCGCCGCTGGACCGCCGCCGCGTGCACGCGCTCATCTCCTACGTCAGCCGCCACTTCCCCGACGTCGAGGTCAGCCGCATCAAGCAGGTGCTCGCCTACAAGTGCAAGGAGAACTGCGCCGCGCTTCGAATGAGGACCGCCAGGTGACGCTACGTTTTTTATTTCTATTGAATTTAACACGAATTGTTTATTGGATTTCGTTTACGAATAAATACACCTTAAGTTAATCGACCAACAACCATCTACTGCTCTCATAGTTTCTAATTTTTAAAAATAATTTAATTCATATTCATATATTTATTTGTCATGATCACCACACTTGGTAGATTAGTTAGCAAGCACCTTTGAAGTCTACTCGCAGAAGAAATGACATGATAGATGTTCTTTTAGAGAAAAGAATGAAAGTTAGAGGTATTTGTAAAAATTGAAATAATATCATCAGCAGTTAGTTCGAAGCGACAGTAACCTATGTAGTATAAAATGGCAGGGCGCGGCTTGCGAACTCAAAAGGTCGTGGGTTCGAATCCGCCATTCGATAACTGTCGTGAACCACTCCTAACCTAACCATTTTAAGCTCACCAGGAGTGGTTAAAAGGAATATTATTAATGTTAATTAATAGGATTACTAGTATTTAAAAAAAAGAAAGACAGATACCGTTACTGAGGAACTGGGCATCCTATTATTTATTGAAAGATGATGCTTCTTATGATGTGGTTCCATATAAATTTGATCTAGATCTGACCAGTAGTTTTTGAATTATCCTTAAATAATGCGTATTTAATTGATTTCGACTACATTGATGATGTTCTCTTTTTATATATGTTAAAGTCGGTTGTACAGTTTTTTTTTAACAAAAAGAATTCTAATAAAGCACTGTTAAAGTATCAGTTACAAACAGTGCATTCTATAATAGCGACTTATAAAGTATTTCAACTGTATAAACTTAAACAGCATTTTCGTAACGAATAATAAGTGCTGTAAATGTTGAAATCAACACTATAATATACGAGTATCCCGCCTTTAACGCAACACTGTAGCTGACTCCGCTACATCAAGAGTAGAGCCATTTTATACTACTAAAGATTATTACTATCACAGCTAGCTCTAACTTTTTCCCGAAAAGAACGACCTGTGTGATATGATCATAATGTGACGGCATAAAATAATCGATCATCTCATTTTTTCCTGAAAGAAGACTTCAAAGATGCTTGCTAATTCGTCTGCCAAGCGTTGCGATCATGACAAATTTTTCCTACGTTGGAGGAGGCAAGTTCAGCTTCAGACTGTTAAAGTCACAGCCTACATACGTCCTGCTGCTGGGCACAGGCCTCATTTATGAGAGGGAGTTTAGGGCTATGAAGTGTCCGCCGCGCTGCCCCAATGCATGTTGGCGATTGGCGAACTTCACATGTCTTCGAAATATTTTCTTATTTCTCAGATATGCAGGTTTCCTCACGATGTATTTCTTCACCGTTGAGCACGTGGTAAATCAGCACTTAAAATTGCATTTAACAATTTCATTGGTGCTGGCGGGGGATCGAACCCGGTTTGCTCGCGTACTGTGAAATTTCATCATCATCATCATCATTACGGCCCTTCACAATTCCACTAGTGAACATAGGCCATAACTGTGAAATTTACTCACACGAAATTAGATGAACGGTAAAAAAATGGTGTCCTGTAATTCATAGCATATCAACATTGTTGTTTTAAACCATTACCTTAACTTTCATGTATGTTTGTTTGGGTCGAATTTAGTAGGTAATTGATTTTATACTTACTAACAATTTGATATAAGAATATAAAAAAGTGGTATATTAAAAAATTATGTATAAATTTTACTTGTTAACTTATTTTCATAAACAGTCAAAGAAAAATACGAAAAACATTTTATCTTTTTTTATTCTTATAATTTCAACTTTTAATGATATCAAAACAACCCAAATTTTTACTTGACATGTACAGTACAACCAAACATATATTTCTATCATGATAATCATAGTATAGCTTGGAAATAAGCTTTCAGCTTTGCGTTGGTTTGCGAAATCTGCGCGGTACGTGCGGGAAATGGTGATGGATGTCAAAATTGTTCTATGAGAGGGTTTTGAATGACATCTTGCGACTCTTTGCTGCTTCCCTCCTGAATGTATTGAATTAGTCAAGCATTTATATATTTTTTTTTATAGGATAAGGGTGACAAACGAGCACACAGTCCACCTGATGGTAAGTGGATGCTGTGGCCCATAGACATCTACATTTATCCTCGTTTAAGAATCAAAATGCAGATGCGTTATCACCCCTGAGGACTAAGATGGAATGCCTCGATCCCAGTGAAACGGGTCTCCAGTTCTCTACAATCATCATACGAAACACAGCATCATTAAGCTGCTATTTTACGCTGGTTTTCTGTGAGAGCGTGGTTTTTCCCCGGTCGAGCCAACCCATTCGTACTACAACCACAATATAGCCGCAGCGTGGCTCTACCACGTAAAATATATATAAAATTTCATTTACGCCTTTCCTCTATCTAATATCATTACAATATTATGCAATAAAAATACTCAATGTAGTATAATAATAACTTAATAAATTCATAAATAACAGGATTCTCTTTTGGCTGGCTATTTTTTTACCCACGTTTTTATTAGGTCACTTTCTCTCATTTGTCTGTGTGCCTGTCTGTCGTTCCAGACGAAAGCTTGCAACACAAATTTCGATTATTTCCTGAGGTGCTAGACTACTTGAAAAAAAAAGACGTGGTATAATAAATTTTAATTAGTACAAAATAAGAAAAACACTTGTTAATATTTAAATTAACTTAGATACCAATCAATCAAAGTTAATTTAAATGTGGATATGGTCTTGGATAGACAACTGATGACGGAGAGTCTACTGAAGTACTGAAATGATCTAGTACAACGTAGAAAAAGCGATTGGCGACGTGATGAATTGGTCCATTTGTTAAGCATAGCAGTCAAGATAATTTCTCCAAAACATCAAAGGAGTCCTATAAAAGATATAATTTTTTTTAATGTAAGATTACAGGTACACTTATTCAAAATTGATTTTTTGCTTTTGTTGAATGTCGTCTGCACGCACCTAGGTACGTGTAGGTATCGGGCCTCGGGGTATACCCCATTACCCGGGTAATCATCATACCCCATTATTATGGGGCAGTCATTCTTTAGCCTATCTTGGCATGGTTATTGCTACATTAATATATTAATGTAGCCGGATAAGAATAATTTTCCCGTAGTTGACCGACTACGGGAAGGGGAGGTAATCTATAGAGGTAGTCAAAGTTGGCCTTTCAGCGGCATTGAGGGTTGTTACTCGACTCTCTAATCACATATAGAGAGGAGTTCTCTTGGAAGAGGTCGCCCGTCCGGTGGCCGGGTGTGCAACGGCGCAAAACCGTTGAGGTGTTCGTGTGGCCCGTTATCAGCACGGTCGAACATACCGCGCGCTAACCGGGCCACAAAGTCGTGGATACTCTCGACCTTTAAGTCGGCCGCTATCACGTCATTCCGGACGTAGCGACCTGCTCCGACGATCGTTCTTAGTGTCAGGTTCTGCTGGGCCTGTAGTCGCCGCCTCAGAGGGTCGCTCAGAAGTGCGTACCAGGCCGGTGCAGCGTAAGTAATAATAGTCCGGATATACATCTTGTATATCCGGAGCTTGGTACGTAGTGGCAGTTTGGATGCCAAGACCGGCAAGAGCGTCGCCCGCGCACATCTGGCCCGGCGGACGACGAAGTCGACGTGCGCGGTCATGCGCAGCGTCCTGTCGATCCGGCACCCAAGGTATGTTACAGCCTTCTGGTACGCAATCTCCTGGCCGTTGAGGGTCAGCGGAGGTGGTAAATTCCTGAGACGGCGAGTGAGCAGAGCGGTCGTCTTACCAACGTTGACGACCATCCTCCACTCTTCCAGCCATGGTGGCAGCAGGTCCAGCAGACGCTGCATCTTGGCAGTGGCTATGTGGGCTCTTCTGGACGAGGTGAAATAGGCGCTATCGTCCGCGAATAGCGCCAGCTCAACGTCGTCCTCCCACTCTTGAAGCCTGCCTGCCAGTGTAGGTATGTCGTTGGTGTAAGCCGCGTACAGGACTGGAGACAAACAGCTGCCCTGTGGGACGCCGGCTTTGATGGATCTTGTTGCGGATTCGGCGTCCTCTACGCAGACGTAGAACTTCCTGTCTTCCAGGAAAGACGCTATTAGCCGCAATATAGCAGGAGGGACACTGGTCTGTTGCTCCAGTTTGTATAATAATCCTATGTGCCACACCCGGTCGAACGCCTTCTCGATATCGAGAAAGACGCCCAACGATATGCGGCCACGATTGTACTCTGCCGCAAGCAGGTGCAGCACTCTAGTCAGTTGTGTAACTGTGGAGTGACCTCTCCTGAATCCGTGCTGCTCCGCCCGAAGTTGGATGCACGGACGGAGACGTCTTAGCAGCAATCTTTCGAACAGTTTAGCTATATGTGGCAATAGCGTAATCGGCCTGTAGTTGGCAGCTCTACGCCTGTCCTTCCCGGGTTTCGGCAGGACGATGACTTTTCCTTTTTTCCAGTCCTCCGGGAAGTGGGATGTCCGCAATATCCCATTGTAGAGTCGACCAAGCTCTACTATGACTCTATTGGGCAGCTGTCGGAGTGCAGCGTTGGTAATCCCGTCGTGCCCCGGCGCCTTCCTCGGTTGCAGGCAGGTTACTGTCCTCCGCAATTCTGCGGGGGGAGATAAACCAATCTCCTGCAAGAGGTGGCGCGGGCGACGACAGGAAATCCTGCACGCGACTTTCCTTCCGGGCATGAAGCTCCATGAACTCCGCACTTGCTGTGTTCGGCATAAATTGCTCCTCGAAGTGCTCGACTAGGATATCCGCTCTGCCCTTGGCATCGTAACATCGTTTGCCCGTGTTATCAGTCAGCGGGCAAACGGGAGGTTTAGCTTTGGTTAACTGTCGGTTTAGTCTGTAAAGCGACATATCTTTTTCCTCCGCCTTCTGGATGCGCCGATCCCAGGCGTCTCCTCTGAAGGCTTGGACTGAAACCGACAGTTCCTCCGTTAGGGTGTTCAACTGGGTTTTGATCCTGGGGCAGCGAGTACGCGCCCAGAGCTTTCTTAGCGCTCTTTTGCG